TATGTTGAGGGAGTATCAGAGAAACTGAGACGTTTATTTTCTAAACATAACGTCCCAGTGGCTTTTAAACCCCAAAATACATTACGGCAAAGACTGGTTCATCCCAAAGATCCAGTCCCCCGGCACAAACAGAGCAATGTTCAGTATGCTGTTCAGTGTCAGGAGGGCTGTGATCAGTCTTACATCGGGGAAACAAAACAGCCACTGGCCAAAAGGATGGCCCAGCACAGAAGATCAACATCATCAGGCCAGGACTCTGCGGTCTACACTCATCTCCAGGCCAGCGGTCACTCTTTCAGGGATGAAGATGTTCACATCCTGGACAGAGAGGAACAATGGTTTGAGAGAGGAGTAAAGGAGGCCATCTTTGTGAAAAGAAATCGTCCATCATTAAACAGGGGTGGAGGCCTCCGGGTTCAACTGTCCCCCTCTTACAATGCTGTGATTGCTAGTATCACTCAGCCCTCTGTGAACAGTAAACAGCCATCAGTGTGCTAATGATCCATTGTTAGGCTGATGGTCCTTCTTGAGCATGTGATCAGCTGGTTTTGGTTGTCAGCAGCAAACTGGTTGATCCACTCTGAGAAGGTGCTATTTAAGAGACTGAGCTGAATACAGCTCCTCAGACTGAGGAAGTCTCTCGGATGAGAGACGAAACGTTTCTACATATTTTGTTGATTTGCTTTGTTTTGTTTTTTTGAATGTCCAGAGGACCAGATTTAACTTTTTTAGATTTTTCTACCTGGATTATTGAGCATGCATCAGGATATTTCCACCTATAAAGATCTCTGGCCGGGATTTGAACCAGCAACTTTCTCACTGAGAGGCAACAGCTCTACCAACTGTGTCACTATGCCTCCCACTGAAAAAAGTTTTTCATTAAAATTATTAAAGTGTTGGCATGTTTATAAAAAACATTTTACTAAGGTGCTTTTCTTCTGGCAGATCCTTATTGAGCTGGAGACGGCTCTTTTAGATGACGAGCCTCACTGGTACAAGCTACAAACACACGACGTGTCATCCATCCCACTTCCACGTGCCTCCCCAAATGCACAGCGCAGGCAGCTTCATGGAGAGAGTCCCACACGGCGGCTGCAAAGTTAGTAACACAGTCTCTTTTTTATGAATCTGTTTATCAAATGTCTTTCCACTGAACATTTTGACAGAATCCGTAGTTCTACAATAAAAAATATTATTTAGCCACATTGATAATAGTAAGTAAACTTTAATTTAGCAAATGTTGATAAGTATGTACCAAAACACACCAAAACAGAAATGTCATATTTCTGTTTTTCCTTATTTATTTTGTTTGTGCCATGTCAATCATGCTGCTTTTGTTTTACAGACAAGGGCTCATATTCACACAACTCAGGTAAAGGCCACTGCACTCCCAGCATTGGCAACCTAAAGACCACCCTAGTGTTTTCTCCTCACCTCTTCACAGTGGGCTGAAAAAGTATGGTGGCTATGGGGATTAATGCTTTACCAGTCAATGGGTGGGGTGGGTGGTATGATTTTGAGTACACTCCACTTGATTGGTTGCCTTATATTCTGGAAATTAAAAATAATTTAGGTGACTTGTGTCTTTTAATTTACACAACAGAACTACCATTTAAAACAATTAAAATATATTTTATTGTGAAACTGACCAAAAATCTTGCATAGCCAGTTTGGGACACAGGAAATCAGAATGCCTAAGGCACTGCCCTCGCCTGCCACCCAGTTTGCACTGCAACCAACCTTGATTATGGTCCCAGCAGGTGGTGGGTCAACACGGAGATACAGTAGCTTCTTGTCGTTTCTTCCAGCTTGATCTGGTCAAGCCCTCAGACCCAACGCTCAGCCACCAGGCATTGCTCTAAAACGGTGACCTTGTTTTCCCAATCTGGGTGAGGTAGCCCATCTTATGTGGCCTTCTACCATCAAAATCTTTGAATTTAATTTAGTTTAACTCCTTCCCTGAAGCTGTTTTACCAGTGAAGATCCTACCAGGGATTGATGATCCAGATAAAATAACCCCTAGCATTATGGAGATACTAAAACACCTTTATTTTGTTAAGGTGACAATTCTATAGATAATTGAGCAGCTAGATTTACCTTTAGCAAAGAGGTGCTTCATCATCTGGGGTGACTTTGGATTAGAGTTGCTGCTTCTCCTCATGAAAAGGTGATCAGCTGAAGTGATTGGGCTCGTGCTTATGGGTAGATTCTTCCTCCCTCCTTCTGGAGGTTTTCCTGGCACAATGGACTGAGAGAAGAACTTGAAGTAGACACGACTCGTTGAGGGAGATTATGTATCCTCTCTGTCCGGAGAACTTCTTGGGATTTTTCAGGAGGAACTAGACAGAGTGACTGAGGAAAGAGATGACTGGGTTTCCCTCTTTGACCTGTCACCTCTACAGCCAATCACAGATAAGCACAAGAATTATGGTGGATGGACAAATAAGAACATGAACAAAATTAAACAATCAAAAAACTGTGCATACAATTATTCACACATCCCCAAAGGCAATAGATTGTTGATCCACTTTTTGCATCAAATCTCTTCCAGTGTCTCCATAAGCTTGGCACATATACTGTATCTAATGTAACTTTTGCTCCATTCTCATGGCAAAGCTGCTCCACCTTCAAATAGGATCACTGCTGCCATCTTGAAATCCCTCCAGATCCAGTTGGATTCAGGTCTGAGATTTACAGTAGCTGTCTTATCTTAAAGTGATTCCAGATGAGTTCTAACAATATACATGATTGACATTTACCTTAAAGTTTTTATAAAAACATTTAAACATTAATGTCACATTGACATGTTTACCCTGCTAGGTATTCAGATATGTTGCTCCAGTGTAAGCTCCATCCAGCTTGAACATTAATTTTGCACGTCTACCATTTAGTCCTTCTAATTTCAGCCAGAGAGCCTAGACATTGAGCAGAATGCAAAAATGACTCGGTCTGCAAATAAAAATGAGGAAGACCAAACGGATGAAGAGGAGAAATCTGGCTAGAAAAGCTGGTGTTTATGCAGCTTATTGGACAGCTTATGCTGCAAAGAGTACAAATTGGTCACACAAGTATCTGGATGAAATCATTTTCTTATGTATACTAAATATTGCATTTTACTGTATGCTATATAATAATGAAGATTGATACATATTTTGTTACTTTACACATCCTTACATTATCTGCAGCTTGTTTTACTGTGTGCTGCCTGTCTAAGCTAAACTTCATTCCACCTGGACCACAGAGCAATACAGCACACAACAATGCTTATTAGCACACAGATTAATAACTGACTGTTTAAGCTCAACTCTTTATGTTTTAGTCCACTGCAAACTATGTATGTCATTGTCCCACAATGCATAGTGCTTGTAAGATAAGGGCAGCATCCTTGGTGAAAAAATGAAATAAATATACAGTATACACTTTTTAAGTACTGATAATAAGGCATCTTTTCTGTGTCACAATTGTTTTTAGTATAATAGGAGCATTCCATTTTAAGGCCAACATGTGCAAGTAGGCTAAGATTCGTATAAACCACAGAAGTTTTGCTTTAGCACAGAGTTTAGACTTGTTTTCCAGCTGGAAAGTGAACATCTATTCCAGTATCAAATCTCGGAACGACTCAAACAGGTTTTCCTCAAGAACTAGTCAATATTTTTGACCAGTTTCTCAGCTCCTGCTGATGGAATAAAAAAGCACAGCCATAGCGATGCTTCCACCACCTTGTTCCACTGCAAGGATGATATTCTCAGCATTATCAGAGGTATCGGTTGGTGCCAGACATGGTGTTACTAAAGCTTGATTATAGATTCATCTGACCACAGCACCTTCTTTCACATGTCTGTGAGTCTCTAAAATACCTTTGACAAATTCTATGGAGGGGGGTGGGGGAGTGAATACTTTGCAACCTGCAGTAAATAGGGATCTTTATACTCCAAACCCTAACCCCACCCTTTGTCAATAAAAGTGCATACTTCTGCTGCCCTCAATGGATTGATTGAAGATGGAGAGCCGCTGTAAACTTTAACACACTGGTTTTAAATCCACTTATGGTAGCAGACACAAGCACTAGTTTAAAGTGTTCTATTCCGCCCCCCCCGTGTACTTATAGGGTACATACCACATACTTATCTGTACCACAATCCTGTAAACAGCCTGTGCATACCCAGTAGGCACCTCTGTAAGTACCTGATAATTACCCTGCACACCTTGCAATATCCCTGTATGTAATCTCATATGTACCCTCTATGTTACCCTGTAATTACCTTGTATATTACCCTTATATACTTTGCAATTAGTCAATACATTACTTTGTAAATACCCCATATATAGCCCCTGATGTACCCTGTATTTATTGTGTAGTATCCCTGTAGTGTTCTGTATTGCTAAAGAATCTTTCCCCTTTTTCTGAAGCAAAAAGTATTGATGTTACTCTCTGTTGATCTTTATTCTTTGCTTGTATTTGGACTTCTTGGATGTATTTTTCTAAAAGTGTGCTAAAACAGTGAAAGAATGGGTTGATTTTTCAAAATGTGAAGAATTGTAAATATACTGTATTTAACAAACTTTTCTTAAATATGAAAAAAAAACATAAATCATCTTTGTAAATTAAAAATTATTAATACACAATGCAAAGCCTGCAACACATGTGCATGGTTTCTGTCATGGCTGTGCACTACTAGATTGTTGACCAGTTGCTTCAGATGACTATTTTAGTGTGATTTACACCAAACTCCTTTATTGTGCTGCTTCTTCTGGCTGATTAAGGCTTTCAGCTGCTCACCAGAACAATTTTTTGTGTGTTTGTATTAGTGAGAGGTGAAAGAGCTGACAGCTGTAAAAAGTTCTCTGCCAACTGAGATGAGAGATTGGAAGTGGTGCTGCCAGAGTGCAGCACTTGTTATTTCTGAAAAAGCATGCATGTCCACTTGATTTAAGCTGACCGAGGACTGGAGATGGAAGGATGTGCTTAGAGTTGTTGGTGCCATGTGTGTGTGTGTGTCTTGGGTTAAAGAAGAAAGAGCTGTTGTGTTATGTCACGCACCTCCTACTTTTTTAGATAAACCACAGGTACTTCAGGTAAAATAAAGAATAATCTGTGGATATTTACTGTAGCTGTGAAATGCTTCATTGTTTCATGTGTCAGTTGAGTTTTTATTATCAACATTACAAGTTACCATACAATGTGCAAAGAATAAACTGTGTTCTTATGATCAATAGTATGACCATGAACAAGGGAATAAAATTATTTTTCACTCATTTTACCATCTCTCTTTCCTATCTCCCACACTTTCTCGCTATCTCTTCATCTCAAAGGATCCCAGAGGATAAGCGACAGTGAGATATCAGACTACGACTGTGAAGATGGAGTAGGAGTTATAACAGGTAAACCTTATTAAAAACAGTTTAGTAAGTTTGGTATACACATGAATTCGGCCTTCTACTGTATTTTTTAGCTTAAACAGACAAAAACACTGGTCTGGACATACCATCACATTTTCCATTGCTGATTGTTATTCCATTAATGTGTAACAGGATTCCTGTACAATCTTGAAAAGTATGAACTTTTAATGTAGCATTTTCCAGGTCTTGATCATTTTGAAAAAAGTGGACTATTAGTATTAGGCTTATTTTATTTTTAAATGTACTTTTAAAATAAAAAGGAATCAGTAAGTTTTTAACATTTAGTTTTATTTCATCCACTAATATATCAAGCTAGAGTGTTTCCTATCACAAGATTTCTTTATCAAATGATCCAAATTGTTCCCTTTCCTGCTCATCTAACCTTTCATTGAAGGTATTTTTTTTACGTATTTTAATGTGCTACACACTCTAATGAACATCAATCAGCTTTAATAGTGCTAGGCATTGACCTTAAGCACAGTTTCTAGCCATGTCTGATTATTAGTAATGAACTCTTTCAAGTTGGATGAACTAATCGGTCTAGCAGAAAAAAAAATCATTACAATGTTTCAGATTTTTAAAAGCCATTTTCATGTTTAATAGACGATGTTAACACAGCAGATGAAATGCAAGTTTATGGAAAGCTAGTTCTCATTTTTGGAATAAAGGGAATCAGCATATCAACCCTATAGAATCTATCCCCTAGGTAGAATGACATTTAGTTTAACTTTCAGCAAGTTGGCTCACTTTAACATACATTACATTAATAATTTCCATAATTTTCATTGTCTGAGATATATATTTTATCAAGTTAAGCATAATGGAATTCCACACTGCAAATTAAAAAAGAGCCATTTAAATGATTCAGTTTGAGGTTTTTTTTTTTTTTTCAGACTTCTCTTTTCCAATTTGTATCTTTTCAGACTATCGGTCAAATGGAAGAGACTTCCAGAGCTCCACATTGTCTGTTCCTGAGCAGGTGATGTCGTCCAACCACTGCTCTCGATCAGCTGAAATAAACCGGGCGCGGTCGCGCTCTCCAAGTGTTCCTCCACCTTCCAGGTAATAATGTTAAAGACAACTGAGCTTACCTTTCTGACAACTGACCCATGCAGTGCCTGTTTTATAATACTTATAATCACCTTTTGAGAAACACATAATGTTCCAGTTTTTGAACACTTTTAAGATGCTGTCTTATCTCTCTTGAATAGAAATTTACAAAAATAAATGTTTTAAATTAGTTGCTGAGTCATAGCAACATTACAGGTGACTTAAAAATCAGTCATGTTAAGTAGAATGTAGCTCATTTTAGATTTGCATTGCCTTCGTTAAGTATGAGGACATGTGCTGCCTCAATAGTAGGAGGCAGATGAACGATGTGAAGTACAAGAAGGGCCGCTCCATTTTTTTCTATTACGCAACAGAAACCTTGACCTACCTGTGGCCTTGCAGTTCCTCTAGCGTTACTGTGTGTCATATACACACACACACACCCTTGTGAACATGTTTGGGACCAGATTTTGGTAAGCACACATTCAGCAAGGTGCGAAGCAAAAGTTTTGAGCTACTATTCATAGCAGTCCCTCGATTATCGCAGGGGTTACGTTCCAGACACCATTGTGATAGCTGAAAAACCATGAAGTAGGAAAGCTATATTTATTTTAGTATTTATATATATTTTAAGGCTTCATAAACACTTCCCACACTCTTGCAATGTTCTTAACAATGCTCTAAACTCTTAAACCTATGTCATTTTAACAGCAAACGTATATGTACTGTACAGTACTGTTAAATTTTGTATGGGTACTTGCCAGCTCTGCAGACCAGCAGCTCAGTTCTGGTCGGGCTTGGTTCTGGTTCTGCAGACTTACCCTGCAGTGACGAAGCCCACCGCCCAGTCCAGGTTGATTTGTGTGTGGATAAATGAGCATCAGGAAGCTTCAGGACTTTCCTGCCAGTTCTGTGAGCTTTATAGATAGATGTTACTTCTGACTTTGCATTGCTAAACTTCACCTCCATTTCAACAGAAAGCAGCAGCCGGAAGCACTGTTGACTTCTGGGTAGTGTAGTTCTTTTGGTGTGTTTTACAGCGTAGGCTTATGGCGGCACCTGTCCAAAGTACATATTTTTCGTAAACTTTTTATCCTGTGCATCCCAATCACGTGAGTAATATAAAAGTTGACAGTCGTGTGTCGTGTACAATCGTACGTTTAAAAACCGCGAAAGAGCGAGTTTGCAAAAGTCGAACCGCAAAGTAGCAAGGGACTACTGTATTTATTATTTTTATTTATTTATTTATTTTTTACATCCAAGACCTTCTTTAGGTATTTTAAAGAAGTCTTGATAAATATATTTCCAGGATTTCTGAAAGTTTTCTAAAGTTTTTCTGTAGGCTTTGGTTGTTATTTAATGAAGACTCAACACAATCTGCTGGCTTCCTTCCTTAGATTGAGAACTTTACTAATTGGCATTTATAATATAAATGTTTCTGTTCAGTGCCCTGAGATGACTTCTGTTGTGACTTGGTGATATATGAATAAACTAAATTGAATAGATTTTTTATTATATATATATATTTTTTTTATTTAATAACTTTAGTCTAAATTTTGTAGTTGACCATTTTTAGAGGTCAGAATTTCCTCAGTTTTTTTTAAATGATCTACTTAACAGTTAGTTAGAATGTGTTCAATCATAAAAGACACTGGACTCAATGGATTAGTCATTGTTGTCTTTAGGGACATAAAGACAAAGAAACAAATACCGAAATATCTTTGAGCACCTGCTGCTGTCGTGTTTAGTTATCACAAGGTTAGTATGGTAATTTGTAATTTCTTTAGATAAAACTATAAAACAGGCTCACAATTCCACCGAGAATTCTAGAATCACATTTTTGGTGCCAAAAATGCATTTCCTAAAAGTCAAAACTTTACTTGGACCACCAAGTCGTAGTTACAGACCGATTTATGAAAGGGTAAGCCAGTCAGCATCACAGCTCGAGGGTGTGATGTGGTGATGACAGATGGTCTGAGACCAGCTGACTGTGGGATTTAGAATGGGAGACATCTGACACATGCTCCACATTAGAGCCCCTGAGTTACATTACACACCTCCTATGCTCCCATGATGCTGGCCTCATTTTTGAGACCTCACATCAACACAGGAACACAGGAAGCAGCTTAACGTTGGGCTCGTGTTTAAGGTCATATTGTGGAGCTCTAGTGTGCAAGGAGCTTTTCATAAACTAGGAAATCAAGAATAGCTGAAGTTTTTCAATGCCTACACTCAAAATCAGATGTACTAGTCCTATAGAGTGAGGACTCACAATTAAAATATTTATATTGTATTATTTTCTATTACAGATCTTATTGTTCCATATTTTCCTAACGGGGCATTTCACTCTCAGACTGCAGGCTTACTTGTGATTCCTAGAGTTTCCAAAAGCAGAATGGGAGGAAGATCTTTCAGTTATCAGGCTCCTCTCTTGTAGAACCAACTTCCAGTTTCTGTCTGTAAGACTGACACATTGTCCAGTTTAAGACTGGGCTCAAGACTTTCCTTTTTGATAAATCCTATAGTTAGGGTTGGCTTGTTATGCAGCTATAAGTTTAGACTACTAGAGAACAAATTGACCTGATTTCTTAAAATGAGTAGTTGCAAATGCATACAATTGAATAGTTTTCATTTGATACTACAGTAGTCCCTCGCTACTTCACAGTTGGTTTATCACGGAGTCGCTCTGTCACGGTTTTTCAAAGTATGATTGGACATGACACATAATTGTCTGATTGATGGATGAGCCGCACAATCGACATGGGATTTTTATTTAAAATGAATTATTTTAAATTATTTAGCACCTGCTACACCTTTGTGCAGCCAACTCTGCAGGAGAAACTTTCTCCTGCAGCTCCTCCTCCTCTGTCGATCTCCTTCTGCAATGGAGAAGTGGGCGTGGCCAAGATTGCAGAGTGCAGCCGTGGCAAAGAGGAGGCAGAGAGCTGAAATCATGACGTTTTGTGCTCTTTTAGAGCGTTTAGAGTTTAGAAACGAGAGTGTGGGAAGGGTTTAAAATGCCATAAACAGTGAACCCTCATTTTTCACTGGGGTTACGTTCCAAAAAGAACCCGTGATAGGCGAAATCCGTGAAGTAGTAACCTTTATTTTTTTTTACAATTATTATACAATGAAATACTCCATAATACATTCAAACCAAAGAACAAAACCTTTTTACAGGCCCAAGCATTTGTTTAACAAATAAAAGTACTGTATAAACATTTTTTCAAATAACTACTGTACTGGAGAGACTTTTTAGCCAATCAGAATGCAGAACACAATGCACGATGCAAATCCGTGAAGCAGCAAGACCGTGAAGGGTGAACCGTGTTATAGCGAGGGTTCACTGTATATGTGTATATATATATATATATATACACATATATACACACACACACACACTAAAATAAACTACTACTTACTACTTGTACTACTATTCCTACTTCACGGTTTTTCACTTATCGCCGGGCTTCAGGGTACGGATCCACCGCGATAAATGAGGGACTACTGTACAGTGATTTTCGACCTGCTATTTTGTTTCTGTTCCTCTCAAATCCAGCATGTCGAAGCAGATGGTCGCTTGTCCTGAGCCTGGTTCTGCTGGAGGTTTCTTCCTCATGAGGGAGTTTTTCCTTTCCACTGTTGCCTTCGTGCTTGCTCAGGATGAGAGACTGTAACAAAGTTAAGACTTGAAGCAGTCTGCTCCTATGTTAAACAATGTTATATATCGGTACTTACTTTATATATATGAATGTTTCAGGTAACTTATTTTTACATATGAATGTTTCTGTTCATTGCCCTGAGATGACTTCTATTGATTGAATTGAATATAAGTTGGGGAGGTCACTACAGATTTGCAGCAGTGACTTGCTACAGTGGAGGCCCAGTCTGGGTTTGGGCTTCACTTTAGCCAAGTACTTTGGAGACCTTGTCAAAATAACCAGCTTATGAAGACACAAAGTACCATAAACTTCATTCTTAATGCAAATTTGACAAAATAGTGGAAGCATACCTGACTAGAAAAAGACAGTGGAATGAAAAACTTGGTCTGGATCTCAGATAACATTATGGAAGCTGTGTGTCAAAATCTTGACAGAAAACATTAAAAAACTATAGCCTACATTTAGAAAAAAAGCTTTGAATAGTCCTTTAAGAGACCTCGAAATTTAGTCCTGAAGTGTGGCTTAACAAGACAGCTTGCCTAAGTTTGGGCTGTTTTAAAGAATGAAGGCGGTCATACCAAATACTGAATATGAGACTTGAAACTGATTTGTAAGAATTGTGTTGCCTTACATCCTGCATATCAAGTTGTCTTTACCCTTATTAAATGACTTACTGCAATATGTCCAAAAACACAAAGAAATGAGAGCTTGCTAAAAACATTTATAGAATAAAAGTTTCATTATTTTAGCATAAATTTATTTTTAAACTGATATTGATTGTTTTTAATGATTGTGCCAAAAATATATACATTTTTAAATATACAATTTTTTTTAATCTCATATTCAGATGTGCAATCTTCCCTCATACTCATGGGGCAAATGAGCAATTGACTTTGCATTTTGGAACCAGAGGAGGTTAAAATTTTGCCAAAATTCTGTAGCCAGTGTTGCATTTTCTTCATTAAGCAAGGATCATTGTGTATTTCTCTGCTTGAATAGAAGATGTGCTCAAAGGAAAGTTGCTGGTTATCCTCCAGCAGCACTTATATTTTTGTGAACGTTGGAAAATGTTGGTCCAAGAGTCCAATCAGAGCTTTGGCACTGCCATCCCGCAGCTACTTTCTCTCAGCCAATTAACTTTATTTGATATTTCTAAGGCTCAGCCTAAATCAGTGTCAGATGCAGAAAATGCACTTATCTAAATTGTCTGGGACAGCACTTACTTAACTCTATTTCATCTGTTTTAATTAATAAAAATCAGGTTATTTATAGAAAATGGTTGAAAGTAACAGGAAATGAGATACTGCAATGTTACTTTGTTTCAGATGGATTCTTACAATAATTAAACACACACACAGTGTATCTTACTGGGAGGTAGGGCTGGGGGATATATCAAATATACTCGATGTATCGCGAGATTTTCAATTACGATTGTTAAAATGGCTCTATCCCAAACATCGCAAATATTATTAGACTTGAAAATCCATGTACAGTAGTTATTTTTCTCTCGTCTGCACCGCCAACTGCACACGGCCCCTCCTTCTCCCTCATTAAATTAAACACCCAACTCCTCACATGTGCACGCTTCCTGCTTCTCCATGTGGGGGGGGGGGGGGGGGTTAACACAACAAGTAAACACAGGAGATATGATATCAAGAGCAGCTTTGTTACTGAGCAAAAAGGAAAACTGGCTGTTTGGAGATGGTTTGGATTTAATTTGTCAGATGAGCAGCAGAAAAATGTTTTCTGTAGACAATGCCGAAAACAAGTTCTGACAAAAGGTCGGCACTACGAATTTTCTTCACCATTTAAAACAGTGCTATAAGTTAAGTTGTAACCTGCAGCTCTGACTGATTTCAGCCTCCTTCCCTGAAACAAACCATGGGTCAAAACTCAAATTAGTCGTGCTGTGCCATATGAGAGCTACAGTGACAGGTAGCTCCACATTAATACATCAGCAGCTTATCATATTGAAGACACAGTGCTTAGCGGCTAACAGACAGCTAAAGTTAGCCATCTTGTTAGCCGCTAAGGACCGTGTCTTTAGCGATATGATAAGCCACTGCTTTATTAATGTGGCGCTACCTCTCACTGTAAGACTTAAAAATCCGTGTACAGTAGTTCTCCTTGATCTGCCCATCGAACTTCACACGGCCCATCCTTCCCCAAAACATAGCCCCTCACGTGTTGCTTCACACACGCTTGATAACATCGTGAAGGCGGAGCAGCTTAAGAGGAATATTATTTAATATATGTAAATGGATTATTTTCTAGACATTGTAGTTTCAGCTGTTTGTTAATAAATATGTCTGTGTGACAATTGGGACTAAGCTTTGACTCAGAAATATATTTTTGTTATTACTTTTGGGAAAGAAAAAAATTAATTCATTCAGCCTTTATACAGGTTAGTCTCATTGAGCCTCGAGGACTCATTTACAAGAGAGACCTGTTTTTTTTTTTTTAACAAAGAATGATGACAACAGTAGACAATCATAAATATAAAAATTACATTAATTCATTCAACCTTTATTTACACCGGTTTAAAAAAAACGAAAAAAACAGCTACATTGTAAAATGGTGTAAAATACTAAAAACAGGAACATGTCTGCGTTGGTTTTTGCCATGAACTTAGCAGATGTTGGAATATCAAGATATATATTGTATATTGTGATTTATCTTAAAAATATTGAGATATTAATTTAGGTTCATATCGCCCAGCCCTTCTAGGAGGTGCTTTTCCTCCTGTCTTTCTTTGTTTTTCCTTCTTGACTTTCTTGAGGTTCTCAATATACTGTAGATTTCCACTGAAAGATGTTTACGATTGTAAAGAAAAATCATTTAATAGTTACATAATTTTCTTCTGAACTCAGTGTTTTTTTTATTTAGAGAAATCCCCATTCTTGGTCATTTCTCTCAACTTTCCAATATTCATCTGTTTACCTTTAACCTCCTAAGACCCGAACTCTTGCATATGTGGATGCCAGGCCCTAGGAGATTAATTTAATCTGTCTCCAGTCTTCTACCCTCCTTCTCTGTTTGTGTTTCCCTTCTTTTTTCCCATTTCACCATATCAGATCGATCTCTGTCTTTTCTCCTCCCACCATCTGGTTGCAGCCATTTTCTCACCTTACCTCGAACCAGACATATTCAACCCATTGATCGTCATCAAAAGGACCCCAGGTACATCTTTACCTGAGTTTGCATGAAGCCCCATTTATACACCTCCACTCTTTAACCCATCACATACACCTCACAAACTTTTCTGTTCTCGAGAAAAACTTCCATAGATAGTGCTGTATGTTCAACATACAGCACAGATTTTTTGGCATGTATTTTGCACTTTTGCTTAACCAAATTTATATTTTCTAACATTTACTGAGCTTAATCAAATAAAAAAGTTAACTTTAAAATCACTTTTAATTGATTAAAGGGCTAATTTCAAGTTATATTACATATATCAGGGCCTTGCATGTTGTGCTGATGTGTACCAGTACATGTGTCTTCTGTAGAAAATGTATATACTTACAACAAACACAAAATACATCTTTTCAATGCAATATGTTGAATAGATGAGCCATACTCTTCATCCAGCATTGCACCTTTTCTTTACTCTTTATATAAACATTTTCTTCATTTGCTCAAGTATTTATTTTGTGTGCAAAAGCAAATTGTAAATAAGAAAAAAAAAAAACATTTGTGTTTTCATATGTGTAGCCCCCCAAAATGGCATAAAGTCCTCTAAATCAGTGGTTCCCAACCCTGGTCCCTGAGATACACCACCCTGCACGTTT